TTATTCCAGTACCATGCAGTTTTGATTATTATGGCTTTGTAGTACAGCTTGAAGTTTGGGATTGTAATGCCTCCATTTTGATTTTTCTTAGACACTGCATGGCTCTTTTTAAAATTTTCAGTTTTTATTAATAATTTTTCATTGGGTCTATAATGGTTTATAGGCTCAACTAGACTTCAGGTGTACATATAATTTGACATCTGTATATTCTACATCAAGACCATCACCCAAAGTCTATAATGTAAATCAGTGTAACTACGATGGAAATCAGTATAGATATTACTCAAAAAATTAAGACTAACATTACCTAATGATCCAGCTATTCTACTCCTGGGTATTTATGTAAAAAATACAAAGGCACTAACTTGAAAAACAAATGTATCTTGATGTTTGCTGTGGCATTATTTATGAGAGCAAGGCTAGATATGGAAAAACCTTAAGATGGGAAACATTCTTAAAAAAAAAAGATTTATTTATGCATATAGAACTGGGGTACAGGCCAGAGGTGCAGGGGCAGTGAGAGGATTCACCAGAGACAGAGTGGGGAGCAGAACAGGCCAGCTGACAAAGTGCACTGCTGAGGAGAGCTGTGGGCAGGTCAGGAGAGGTCTGCCTCGCCATGTGGGTCACCTCCAGGGTTGGGATGAAACTCGCATTGGAGCAGCTGCAGCAAGCTTTCAGTGCTGCATCCTAAGCCATTATGCCACCAGGGAGGGCCCAAGATGCATTCTAAAATGCATTGTCAGATGAGTGAAGAAAGAAGATGTGGGCTCTCTACACAATGGAACTCTACTCAGCTGTAAAATGAATGATGCAGTCTTGCCATATGTGCCATGGAGGAAATGGCTTCTACGTAGTTCTCCTTGGAATAGCTACAAATTACCAAGCTGAGGAATTCTTATGCTAAATGACTGGGCTTTGAACCTTTAGGTGGTCAAGCAGGAGATGTCCGTCCACTGTTTTTAATATCATCATTAATTTTACAAAATTCTAAGACATGCTACAAATGTGCATGCATGTTTATTACATGATTGCAAATGCATCTGCTTCCACATTAGCACAATTACCATTTTATTACTGTCCTTCCTCTCAGCAAATATTAGCTCATTTAACAGCTGTTTAACACCTTGCTATCTTGGCCAAATGCAGGGCTGAGCAGGAAACTGTATTCATAGAATGCCTGCAGGTAGGCAGCTCATACTTGGTTAGTAATGGTAGTAGATAGTTATATGAAATTATAAGGAAAAATAAGGAATAAGAATTTCCTAGACAGTTTGCTATCATTTAAAAATGTATTTTAACTGGTTCAAAATGATAGTAAAATTTATGCTAGACAATAAGGAGTAAATTTGTTGTCATCAGATAACTATGCTGATTTTAGCATGGTAGACTTCAGGAAGAGGGAAAGAAAGCACTTCTCAAGAGTCTCAGGCCTGAACTCTAAAATGGAATGTGGTTCATGAGACCTGGAAGCTCTATCAGGAGCATGATTCTTAGTATGCAGGGGTGATTCACACACAATATAGGTCACACATTCATTAAAGAGTAATCCTTTGCGCCACTTCTCCTGGAAGGCTCAGGGCAGTGCAAAGGAAGGACCAACGTCCTACAAATAAATGGTTTTTACCCACCTTGGACCAAAAAGTTGCTCTTTTTAGAGGATTTGACATCCTACCTGAAATCTCCCCCTGCAAAGCACACCTTTGCCAGAGGGAATATACAAAGTTTTGCTTAGAGAAACAGTTGGGGAGTTCAGGGGATCAGTGTGGTATCTGCAGGAGTGTGAAGCCAGGCACTAGAATTAAGCCAGGTGTGCCTGAGGAAAGTGCCTTCGGTGTGAATTAAGTGATAATGACACAGTACTTAAAGACTCTCCTTCACAGAGGAAGGCAATTCATGGCAAGTAGCATTATTTATAATGGATTCTTTGAAAAGTTAGATATATTGCTCTAGTCAACCTATGGTTGAAGTGGAATTATAGTTCCAGTTGTAAGGATCGGCTGGGGTGAAGGTCATGTCACAAACCAAATGGAATAAACTACTTACATTTCCATGGCCACATCACAAACCAAAAGGAATAAACTACTTACATTTCCATGGCCACTATGTTTTCATTGTCACAATTTTTTTTTGTGGAGTATGATGTATGGCAAGATTTTTGACTGTTTTAATCTAAGTATGAGATAGATATCATTTATTTTTTATTAGGAAATTTGTAATAATAAAAAGGGATAACTTCAAATAGTGGAGATAATCACTCAGTATAATTATTAGAGCTCTTTCTATTACCTCAAATATATAGAATGCATTTGCCAAAAGTTTAATTAAAATGAGGTGATGGAAATAATTAATATCACAGTAAACATAAGACAAACTAATAAAACTGCAATTTTTTTCTTTCATTCTTTTTAGCTATGCTAAAAGAGGGCATTTCAATTTTCAGTAATGAGTTACTTTAAGCAGTTTTTATGGAATTAAAAGTCTTCTTGATATTTGTCTTTAAGAGGAACAAATTTGATGTTCTGTAACGTCAATCAGCATGGAACAATGACAAGATGTTATATTAAACCGGATATATCTGCTAAGTGTATAAAACAATATCTTCTCTAAATTATTAGAAACTCTTAGTAAAAAGATTTTGTTTTAGTGAACTTTAACTGACTCAATTCTCTACACTCTGCAAACATATCTCATGCTTAGAAATATGCAATCCACTTCAAGTAAAACAAGTGTAAGTGCATGCATAACTAATGCATGTATTTTTTTAACACATGTTGAAATATTTACAGGTAATATATTAAAACACAGAGTTTTAAATGGTCTTTTAAATGATAAAATTAAATCAGAAGCATGTTGAAATACAGCATGTAGGTGAATATCCCATCCCTCTAGTTCTCTAAGAATGGATGAATGATGTCAAAAGCAGATAGTCATTGAAAACACAATGAAATCTTATACCCACATTCTTTGGGAAAACCATGTGGCCTCTTTACCTCTCCAAAAGCACTTTAAACAATAAGATGCAGTACACAAAAACTATCAAAAGGGAGCACTTTTGAGCCACCAAAATTGTGTGTTAGCCTAAAAACCACAATCTTCCAACTACAGACAATGATACTATCTCAGGTATTTTATGTGCTAAAATGATCATTAAAAATTAAGCACCACATATAAGCTGCCATTTAGAATATTAATTTACCTTTGCTAATCATCTTTTTAACTTGAGGCTAAAAGAGTTCACTTACCATTTGGATATTCAGGCTCAGACCAGGAGATGTTGGAGTGGGGTGAATCTGAGTGTGCTTTGGGGACTGGAGAGCCTTCAGGCCCACGCTCCTCGGGCTGGGCTTCACTGGCCACATTCACTGTGCACCCACCTGTGCAAGCCTGAAGGGGGATGCAAAACAGCACATTTCACTCTGGGCTCCTAAAGTTGAGATGAGCATTGAAGAAAGACAATTTATAGTGAGAGTTCCAGATTCTTTGAATTCAGGCTCTCTTTACCAATCACTCCTTCAAAAAAACCTGTTTCAATGCTAAGGCTTCATACTGAATCAGTTAGCTTTTAAGATATAAGATAGCCATCTCTGATAATTAGACAATAACCTCAAAAGTAGAGCTCAGAGATGTAGGGATATATTTCCTGGGTGAACAGCCCCGGTAAGATTGGCTTCACACAAAGGTTCCTAGAAAGAATTAGACACACACAGATACGCCTATTTACACATACAGGCATACAATATGAGAAAAGTCCTAGAGAGAAAAGATCATTTCAGGATAAAAGTGACTTCTAGGTGAAAAAACATAGTTGCCTTTTATTCACAGAGTGTGACCCATACATTTAAAATAGAATACAAGATGAAATTGAGTAAGGCTACATTTGTCATACATCGACAGTAGAGCTTTTATTGAATGACTGTGTAGTGACTTACAGGGTCAGGTTATTTACTCATGCCAGAGAGGGAGGCTTCTGACATCAGGTGGTCACCAAGCCTCTCTTCCCTAAGGAGTGCCTTTCCAGACATGGAATCATGGATACGAGAGAGGCTCAGAATCTCTACGCATTTATCAAAGGTAATTAATTCCAAAGTAAAAGTCTGAGGAAAATATTATTGCCACCTAAGTTTAGTTAGTGGGTAAGCCAGAGGTTAGCCAGTTCATATTAGCTAGCAAGTTGGTATTTATAGTTTTATGCAACTCATATTTGAAAACTGTATTTTAACTTTATTCGGGATTTCTTTTGGTTACAAATGTAATTTACCCAATGAAGGGTGAAAATCTTTCAGAAAGCATTGAATTTTTACCAAGATTAGTAAGAAAATGAAGCCAAATCAAAGGACAATGTAAAAATAAGTTATTGTGCCAATTTTCATGTATAGATACTAATAATTAAAAAAAATGAAAATATCGCTTTAAATATTTGGTACCGTCTGCTGCTTTTCAGGTTTGATATTGAGATACTGAGAATGACCTTCTGTAACTTGAAATAGTCCATATCTTTTCTCTAAAACTAGGGAGCTGGACTGTTTTCTTTTTTTTTTTTTTTTGTAAGTATTTTCCTATACTGAAATATAATATTTGCAAAGTTGTTGCAAACAGATGCAAATTCTTCACTAATCATATAAAGAGTGGTCAGCAGATATGGAGATCAGTTTTACTTCCTCTTGCAAAAATACAACCACAGCCCATGTCTTCAGGATCATTTCTCATCAGCTTAAGCAAGTTTCAGATGGGCCCGCTTGAAGCCTGGGCATGGAACTGCATTAAGATTGGGGACCTAATTAACCACAGTGGGTTTCCTCTAATTCTTAGCTGTGGTATGTGCATATATATGTAGGAAGGAAACCATACACCTCCTGAGAACAGAATCTTTGCAAATACAGAGGAATCAATGGAGCTTGTAGCCCAGCCCTGACATAAAATGCTGGATATCTGGCTGTTAGCCCACGAAATAACTGTCTGACCCCAGAAATAGAAAAATTCAAAGAAAACATTCCAAATGTGTTAAAAGTCCACCAGACAACCCGGGAGGGAAAGAGGCTGTAGGGACAGCGAAGATAGCAAAGGAAAAGGGTCAACGTAGCATTCTTTCTAGTCCTCAGAGGGAGATAAATCTGTCCACTTGCATTTCCTAGATTTTTTTCTCCTTGGGGGAGTATGTTGTAGTTTCATATTGGTAAACTCATAGCATACTGGGTTTTAATCTTGATTGTCTATATGTCACTATTGTTTTACTCACTCATGTCCTAAGACGCCCCCTTTGCTAACTTCCCCCAAAGCCACACTGTACTATATGACATATGCCATGTTTTTTAAAAAACTGTGATTTAAAATGTACTTTGAGAACTTCATGATGCCTTTTGGGATAGACAAAGACAACTTCTGCTTTGGAAGAAGTATTCTTTGTGTTGAGTCATTTAAAATCCATAAACTAATCACTTGACGGAGGAATCTTCTAAGGATCCATGAGTTAATGAGAGGATGTTTCTTGTAATGAAACAGAACTTAAAAGGGGGCTGGCGAAATAACAGAATTACCTGCAAATGATTTTGTCCACATACCTTTTGTAAGCATTGAGAAGTTTTTCACAAACAGTGAGATTTCTTAGCTCTTCCAATAAGGACATAAATTTCCCTAAAGGTGCTTCCGATTGGTTTGATCTGGTATTAGCTGAATGAAAGTGAACCAATCAGTATTTGTTTGAATTGCCAGCACCAGAGGCAGCTGCATTCAATGCAACAGATTGCTGCTTCAAATCCTGGTGTGGAAAACCAGATAAAATCCAGATAAAATCGTGGGACTGATGAAAGATGTCTTTATGGAATGGCAAGGGCTTTGAAAGCCTCTGTGTCATTAAAATAGTGTGTTTCAGTCCATGTTTTATACCTTTAATCAATTACAACTATTTTTCTCTTTAAATCACAGAGTCATAATACTGCCCTAAAATGATGAGTGATTTCTAACCAAACGGGATTAAATTTTGATACAATGAAGCATGTAACTGACACAAGTATATCAATTACTTTTGAATGATGATAATTAGGAAGAGTAAAAACCAGCATTCTATTTTCTAGTGGTCTGTTTGCAAACAGGGTCTGAAGAGGTAGGCCAAATGAGAGGTAATCAAGTGTTCCTTTGGAATTAAATAATTGAAATTCAGGGCAAAGTTCCAGGTAGAATTCTAAAATCTGCCCCAGGAAGAGGTCAAAGCTGGAGATTTCATGGGAAGAAAGAGGAAGACAAGGTAAGTGGCTAAAGAAAAGAGTCGATTCATGTTAACATCCTTACACTATTCTTGGTGATACTATCTCTAGCTACTGATTCTAATCTCAGGTAAAAGTCTATAACCATCAGTCCTTCTAATCAGAATGTCCACTTTCCAACTTGATTCAGAAACCATGGTTTGAGAGAAAATGACTTTTTGCCACTAGACTCCCCCCCCTCCCCAATTGTAGACAACAATCAGGACTCTAGCCTACAACCCCAACCCTATTTTATGGTCTCCACTTAGGTCTGCATTTCATGTTAGCTAAAAATGAGTTTTTGAAAAGTTTACTTCATCAGTTCCAAAAATCTTTCAGGAAATATATATAAAATGTAACATTTTGCAAGAGTCAAAAATCTAGCAGTGATTTTAAAAGAATTATATTGCACCTATCTTGATACTTGTCTTTTTGTTCAGTTGCTAGTTTAATATCTATGAGGAGCTACTAGACTTCTCAATATCATCTGCTGAATGAAGTAACATAGCATATTGTTTCTTCTAGTAGAAGGAACATATTTGCAACCCATGTCCCCAACACTGCATTTTATAGCAAATCATATAATTCATAACAGAAATCTCAGATTCCTTATGATATAAATGTATTTAGTGATCATTCATTCATTAATTCACTCATTCTTCCTAGAATTGTTTGCTGAACTTCCACTTTTACCAGGCACTGGTTGACCCTGCAGATAGATTTTTGAAAGATGCACTTTCTATGCTTCGGGTGTTTATACTCAGGTCAATAGAGGCAATGAAATGAAGCCACAGGAAGTGACATACCTGCTCCAAGTGTGTAGTAAGTCATTACAGTTCCCATCCCCAGGTAAAGTCCTCTCTCTCAGTGCCTGGCAAAAGGCTTTGTCATCTGTATGCATATGAATTGTTTTATAACACTTATCAAGACACTATCTATAAAGACAACTCCATTTGGCTTAGAACCTGATCTCTACTCTGCTAATATAAAAACCTTCAAAGCTAGTTTATTGTATTAAAACTGTGAAATATACAATAATCCCTCAGTTAACCAAGATGAACCTAAATGGTATGGCTCATTTCACTTACTGGTTAACAGAGTTAAATTAAAAACCTTTTAGCTGAATACTTCTTGTAAAGAGATGAAAGCGATTTCTAATAAATACACTGAAATTGAAAAACGTGGGAAAACTGATTTCCCTTACAAGAGTTAGGGCAAAGACTTGCAGATTTTTATGACATTTTGCATTAGCATTATCCAATGACTGAGATTTATCTGGCCCCACACAGTATTATTTGGTGATTTTTTTTAGCACCCCAGAATTTCAGGGCTCAAAGATTCCAATTTTAGACTTAGAGACCTTAGAGTGCTGACATTAAGTGATTTACCAGTGGTCACATAGTTGGAGGCAAAACCTGAGTTAAAATCAGGCGGGTGAACACTTAATGTAGCAGTATCTTATTTTCTAAGGTATTGCAATTTATAAAACATAGGGGGTTAGATTTTGATGGACTGCAAAGAATATCCTAAAAATTGCCTTTGGAATAGAACTTTGTTTATGTCATTTCCCTTCTTCTGATAAAAACAAAGACCACCACAATTTCTGTGTAATTTAGGTTGTTTCCAAGCCATTGAGTCCTCTCTTGATTTTGATATTTTTACCGTTGTTTTGAAAAGAGTGTGGCTGTCTGCCCCAGCTTTTGAAAATCAAATTAATATACTTTTCACTTCTTGGGTGATCCCACTGCGTAGTCAGAGAAGCCATGTGCCTGGGTGCTGACACAGTGTGGGGCTCAGAGCCCAGCACAACTGGGAACCATGGCTGACGCCCTTGTTTGTGGTGCCAGGTCAGACAGTTAGCAATAGTTGAATGTAGTTTATTTTCCCGTGGTATAATATTTAGAGCATTCAAGAGCATGTTAAGTAAAATGAATGCATACACAGTGTCTACATAAATGTAAATTTATTCATAATCAAGAGCAGAATATTTTCTATGGCATTTATCAAAGCAAATATCCTTATATAGGTATTGCTATAAAATGAAGAGTGCGTTTAAAACAAATAGGGGCAATCTCATGTTTATATTCAGTTATTTTCAGATGTGCTATTAAACTTAAAAAAGATTATATTTCATCAAAAAAACAAAAGGAACTACTGAGTATAAATTCCACCATAATATCAAGGTCTTTCCAAAGACCTTTGTGTAAAAGTGCTGTTTTGCATTAAAAAAATGCTATTGTCTACAGGAACCTCTAAACGACGTTGATGCTAGGGTTTTTATTAAGTCACTGTTTTTTTGAGATAGAAGCATAATGTAAACCAGGATATGATGATAATCAAGAATATTTTGGGGGTATTTTAAACCTTCATATAAAATGTAAGGCCTACATTTCTCAGAGGGCACAGTGTTTTGCAAATACATACAAGCTCCAGGGGGAAATGATGTATTAATCTAAGCATTTAAGAAAAAGACCTCAGCAATTATAACATTCTAAAAATAGTAAAGGAAGAAATAATTTCTGATAATTCTAAATTAGATTGGGCAAATCAACTGACTCAGATGGTTATTCTATCATTTTGCATAATGTAAAATAAATATGTAAGTTTAGATAAACAGAATTCAAATTTAGGGCATGAAGTGTATTTGAAGCACAACTATGTGAAGATGTTTGGGATTTTTTTAAGCAAGATGGGGAAAGAAGGCAGGACAGGGTGGGGAGAATGCAGGTAAAGGAAAGCAAGAAAAGATGGGGTGATGACAAGAAAAGTGATGGACATCAAGTGAACCTACCCCCAGTGTGAAGAGGTACTTATTTCCAGGGGAAAGATATCGCAGCGTACGGTCCTCAAAAAGTTCAGTATTCTTATGGATGACATCCCACATTGTAAAACCATGTGTGTGATTTGAAATATGTAATATGCAGTACTCGAGAATTCCATTTACTTTTCTTGGTTGCTTCCACCTGGTATGGAAAAAAATAGCATTATTATCATTACTCATATTACTCATTCAGTCGAACCTGATGTGTGCAGGATTTATTTATTTATTTATTTTTAAAGATTTATTTATTTATACAGAATTGGGGTACAGGCCAGAGATGCAGAGGGTGAGAGGATTCACCAGGAATAGAGTGGGGAGCAGAACAGGCAGATAGACAAAGTACACTGCTGAGGGGAGCAGCGGGCGGGTCAGGAGAGGTCTGCCACGCCATGTGGATCTCCTCCGGGGCAGGCGGGGATCGAACTCATGCGGAAGTGGCATAAGCTTCTTAGTGCTGTGCTTTAACCCGCTGCACACTGATGTGTGCAGGATTTTTAAAAGACAAAGGAACTTGGATTCATGAGATAGTAAATACTACATCTAAAAATCCAAGTGATAGACTTTTTTTTTAGAACTATTATTAAATGCCTATTCTTAGAACATAGTGCCTGTCCCCTGGTTACTTATAATTTTTAATTCTCTAGTATACAAATATGTATGAATGAATCATTGACTAATAACCTAAGTCACAGAAGAAAAACTGGGAGAATAGAACATCTCAAAGTTTGAGAAACAGGGTGGGAGAGAGAAAAATAATTATCTTGAAAAATTTAGTTAATAACAACTACAGAATACTGAAAAGCTGAGGGTTGGAAGGGCTAAAAGAATCTATTAAAATGTGTTGAATGAGGTTATACATCAGTGAAATACACAAAATTGTGTACTGGATAGGAGGGTAGGAGGATGGGAGGTGGGAGGCTTAAAGAAAAGTAGAGGAATTCCAGATGAGGGTTACAAAGTGTCATTGGGACCAAGCAGGCATGGAATAGACAGGGATTTGGTAAACTGAGAAATATTTATAGTAGTGAGAAATCTTTGGGGCAAGTAATGTGGGCTGAGCTTAGGACAGATGGAATAAAGCCAAGAGGAACCTGTAGAGTTGGAACAATGGGACATGACCATAGGACTTTCAAGCTTAAAAGAAAAGCATGATTCATTCAGCCCAAACTCTCTTTAAGAGATGACAAGACTGAGACTGAGAGAGATGAATGGGGGAGTATTAATTGAGGGTAGGAGAGGTTTATTAAATTTTAGTTCAATACTACAAAACACCTTGTACCTCATGTATTAGGAAGTGGACAAGAATTTCTATGGTCAAAAGAAATCTGAACATATTAATATGTGAATTTTTCTTTCTGACTGCCACTGTAAGGAAACAAGAAGGTCCTAGTGTGTACGTGTTCTTTAATTCCACATTATTACAAGTAATGCCTCACATAAAAAAAGCCCCAGGCAGTCACAATAGTGGTCAGTTTTTATTTTATTGAAGTTTGCACAGAATCTGTGTACATATGTAGCTCAGCCTGATTGCATAAAGACAAAATGGAAATTAAGTTGGCAAGTGATAATCAAAGGTTCCCAGAACCACTGAACTAATCACTTCTATGCATTTAATCACAATAAAATTAATTTTATGTCACAAACCCTTCCCTTGATTGAATTCACTGGAATTCCTGCATGAACCAGTGTATAAACCAGAGACATTATGTTGACTTACTGTATGTAGAAAGCCGTAGAATCCAGGACTGTCAGCTTCGGGGAATCCACATTTTCTGGTGGCATCTGCACTGGGTGTAGTTGGTCCAAGGATCTATCTGTAGAGCCCACATATGTGCATACCCTGACCAGAAACTGGTGGGCTGGAAACACTGCCAAGTCTAGGGGGGGGAAAATGATTTATCAACATATTTTTCATTCAGAAGGTGTCTTTTCTCTTTTACATCCCTACTAGAACTGTTAAAGCAAAATTTAAAATAAGAATCAATAGTCTTAAAATTAATAAAAATACAGGTTATCTCTGCTTTAAATATATTATAGTCTACTTTTAAATAGACAAACGTCAGTTAAACTCCTAGCTTCACTTTTTCTTTTTAACAGTTTGTCTATTTTCTTGAAGGTTTATGACCAAGAGTATCATTTTCAGAGTTTACCGGTAATTCAATGGCTCTCTCTTTTTTTCTTTTTAAAGATTTATTTATTTATGGATACAGAATTGGGGTATAGGCCAGAGGTGCAGGGGTGGTGAGAGGCTTCACCATAGGCAGAGTGGGGAGCAGAACAGGCAGACTGATGAAGTACACCGCTGAGGGGAGCAGCGGGCAGGTAAGGAGAGGTCTGCCACGCCATGTGGTCACCTCTGGGGCGGGGATTGAACTCATGCTGAAATGGCTTTAGCTTCTTAGTGCTGTGCTTTAACCCACTGCAACACCAGGGAGGGCCTCAATGGCTCTCTTAAAAAATAAATGAGGCATTTAAATTATTTGTTAAAGCATATTTGAAGACAACAGTAGTTGCTTTTGAAATGCAAATACATAACTTGTAACATGGTTTTGCACTTGTGATTCCCTTTGACTGGTTTCTTTTCTCCTCCTTACCAAGTATTTGACCTTCAGTTTGTCCGGGATCAAAACAAATGCAGCTTTCTTAATAAGTTCTTAACACATGCAGCGGGCACCTGGCACAAGGTGGAGCTGTTAACCTCCCCGTCTTTTCCCAAGAGATCTGGGACACTTTCAGCCTAACACTTGCAACAGTGTGTTGCAAGGATTTGTTTACATAATTACCTGATCATTAGACTGAGCACTCAGTGAATTTCTGCATTGTCAGTGTATCTAGCACAATGTCTGGCAGATATGTGTTTTGTTAAAAAAGATAAACTGAGTCATATTACAACTGCTAAGATTTTGTTAGAACAAGTTACCAACAGGCATGCAGGGACAGACTTTTGTAGAGAAAGTGATGAAGCAAAGTAAGGAAATAATTGATAGCTACAGCTTAAAACCTATTTGGCTGTCTCATGACGGTGCAGTGTTTAAGCCTAGATTTGCATTTGCTTATGTAGGGTGCCATGACAAAGAATGAATTCAGTCTAACGGCCTTTCTGTTGAACTAATTTAGCACTTGGAAACATGAATAAAGAATTAAAGAATGAGATAGCATACATAAGGCTGAATTAGGTATGAAAGATGGCCAGGAGTTTGAGAAAGTTCTAGCTACTAATATTGCCCTACCGTGAATTCTCTAGTAGTTTATACATGCCTACTCTTTCAATGGATGTCATGTTTCTTTGCATTAACATAAACTAATCTTCAATGTCCTGAAATACCCTGACCACCTTATTTCTAGAGGAACTCAGGAATTATTTTGTTGATTGACCCAACCAAAGTTAAGTTGACTTTATCAAGATTCATACATCATTCACACTTTTTTGACTATTACACATAATCAGCATTTTCTGGAACACTTGCAAAATGTTAGATGTATTCTAAGTAACAAATATTTTTCAGTCTCATTGACCTTGAACCATTACAATTTCATGTTTAAGAGATTAATAAAATGCAACCTAATTCAGGCCAATCGATTTTGTTTTGTACTGCTAGAAAGAGTAAACTAGGAAACCAACACTTTGATTTTCATGCACAATATAATCAATTGGTTAAACATGTAAGCCACTAGAAGAAAGGCAAAAAATAATTTTACAGTAAATATGTTACTCTAGAAGAAACCTACAATGCTTTTGATTAAATTTTGTTTTCTTTGCCACTTTATTTTACAGGTTCCCAATGGTATCAATTCTGGGGGGATACCCCAGGCAAATGGTCAGAAGATAAGTTGCACGGCACATTGAGTATAGTATAGTATCCCCACCAGACAGCACGAAGAGAGGCTATCACTTCACCTTGAGTGCATAAGTGAGACAGAAGTGGGTGCCTTCATTAACATTCCATGAAACTCAGGGAGTTAAAAGTCAGGAGTGCCAAGGCCTCAGATGCTTCCATGAGGGTAAACTTATTATGTCAGAAAACTTCATGCAAAGAAAAGCACTTACTACTAGACACAATCTTGGTCAAAATTGTAATGTGCTAATATGTTCAAATATTTATATCTGCCATTCTCTTGTTCTCCTCATCTTCTTTTGATTCACGAGTCCTTTGGGACTTATCAATAAGTATCTCGTTTCTCTTATTGCCTGGATCTTCCTGTTAAAGAATTCTATTTTTTATTTTATCATTGTGGTCAGAAGGGACAGTTGGTATGATTTTAGTCTTCTTGCATTTTCTAAGCCTTGTTTTGTGATGTAATGTAGGATCTGTCCTCGAGAATGGGCATGGGTGAAGAATGCATATTCTGTAGCTGCTATTTTTGGTCTTTAAATACACACATTAAGTTCAGTGATTAATACGTTACTACATTACCATATGAATATTCTAAATGTGACTATAAGCCTATCTTTACTAGTAGGCTACATAGTTTAATATTTTAATTAGTATTTAATTAGTTGAAGAACTTCTAGCATTTTTGTTAAGGCAGGCCTAGTGGTGATAAATTACCTCAGTTTTAATAGCTTGAGAAATATTATCTCTTCTTCATTCTGGAAAGACAACTTTTCTGGGTTAAGTACTCTTGGTTGGCAGGTTTGCCTCCCACCCCTCTTTCAGTATTCTCTTCCTGCATGGTTTCTGCTTATAAATCTATTGATAGTCTCACAGTGGTCCCATTACTTGTGAGAATTTTTCTTCTCTTGCAGTTTTTAAAATTGCTTACCTCTGGCTTTAGACACTTTTGTTATACCTTGGAGAAAATTATTTTAGTTTCAAAATCTGGAGTGACTTGTTGGTTTTATCAAGTTTGATATCCAAAATCTCTCAACAGATTTGGAAGTTTTTAGTTTTTATTTTTAACTAAGGTTACTGCTTCTTTGGTCCTCTCTTCTCCTCTTGGACTTCAGTGATATGCAAATTCTTTTATTTTTTTGTGGTATCCAGTAATCCACATCAACATTCGATAGTATCATTTTATTTGTTTTGCCTCTTGACTGGATGACTACAAATCATCTGTCTTCTAGTTCATTAAGTATTTAATTTCTTCTGCTTTGATGAGTCTGCTATTTAAACTCTTTATCAAATTCCTTGGTCACTGTATTCTTCAACTCTAACATGTTTAAAAAATATGCCCCATTTCTTCGTTGAACGTGTTATATTTTGCATTGTTTTCTTATTTTATATATTTTCTGTGCTTTCTTATAGTTTGCTGGATTTTTAAAGCGGATGAACCTGAATTCTTCATCAGACAGAATATCTGTATCTTTAGTTTCTTTTCACAGTGTAGTATTTTCTTGATTGTTCATGATTCTAGTGGCCTTTCACTGGTGTCTGTGCCTTGAGAGAACAGGTACCTCTTTCAGAATTTACAGGCTGGCTTCTGCAGGTAAATCCCTTCACCAGTCAGCCTGTCTTGAGATTCTGGGGGGAGAAGGGGGACTGTTGGGTGGTGTCCTTGAGTGCCCAGTTCTCATGCTTAAGTTAGCAGGTGAGCAAACCTCGCGCTTAATTACAAGGAGACCAGCATGAAGCTATAGGGTGTTTCTAGAGCCTGGGGTCACTGAAGCAGAACTTGTGTTTGAATCTGTGGTGAATGGCCTGGGATTTTGGGTCCACAGTCACCAGAAATTTCTGGGTGGGTCCATAATCTGGGTCTGTAAGAGCTAGTTTGCTACTTAGACAATCCAGAATCTGGTTTTGTGGGAGGTAGCCTGGAACCTTGTGATCACAGGGGCGAGTCAAGCACTTGAGTCTACAGTCACCAAAATCAGCCTGTGACCTGGGTCCTCGGGAGCATCTTGATATTGTGTCATCTCTTTCCACATTGTGCTGCATGGAAATGAGGGACTGTTAGTGGGGGAATGTGAATCTAACTTTCCTAAAATCTCCAATGTTCTTTTTCTTACTTCAGTGTTTCACCCAGTTGCTTTAACCTTTCTCCTGAAATCTTGGGATTTTAATGTATTTTTGCATATGTAAAGCTGCCCCAATTAAAGTTGCTGAGAGCCTGAGGTGAGCCAAGATAGCCCCTGTCACCTTTTGCTGATGTCACTTCAAGGAGATCTCTCAATATGTTTTAGGGAAAACTAAGAGAATCCTCATCGTGTGATAGATAAGGTGGGAGAGAGAGAGAGGACATAGAGCTGACTCTAAGGTTTTTGGTCTGAGAAAACAAAAAATGAAGTATCCAAAAATTTGGTTGAAGAAGACTATAGTTAAACTAGGTTTTCAAGGGAAAGATAAAGAATTCTTGTTTTAGACCTGGTAAATTTTATATGTTAATTAGATCACTAAGTAGCAATGTCAAGTAGGCAATTTGAATACAAGTTTGGAATTTGAGGAAGAAGTCCTGACTTGAGTGCTCACATGGGAAGTTAGCATCACATAGAGGGTACTAAAGTGGATAAGCATAAAAGTAGAGTGAGCACCAACAGGAAAGCAAAGAGGAATAAGGGCTCAAACCCTAGCATAGCAACTTATTAAGTTGTCTGGGGAAAAGCAGAACTCAACCAAAAGGACAGAGAAAGAGTCACCAGTACACTATAGAAAACAAGACGACTATGGGTATCCTAAAGGCAAATGAAGCGAATGCTCTCGGGATGGTATGTCCAGACGAGTAATAAAAATCAACCAATCACTTCAGTAATATAATACAATGTCCTAGATACTTGGTGATGTTGTAGGTGTCCAAAGTATGACCCAAGTTTGTCTATGAGGGGATGACAGAAGAGAAATTAGAAATGGTGAACATAAACAATTTTCTCAGTAGAGAAATGAAATAACATGTGAAAGGCAAGCACATTCCAGAGAGAATAAAAATATTTAAATGAGATAAA